GGGTAACACCACCTGGGTCTGGGTGCAATTCCCCCTCCAGGGCAAGGGTACCTAGACCCGGTTTGTAGAGTACGCTTGGGGAGTGTGATTGTGTGTACAGCGTCTCTTTATGTCTGTCTCCACGTTGGTTGAGTGTGGAGTGAGTGCATATGAGAGCATGAGGGTGGGAATGGATGTTTGTGTCTGTGTGTGCCTGTATGTCTGTGTCTATATGTCAGGTTGGGTGTCAGACGCCACCTCTCTGGGGACACCTCAGGCCCTCCAAGGTTTGGAGGCCTATCTCCACCCACCACCACTTCCCCTGCCGGTGGCGGACTCCCTCAGGTGTCGGTGTGTTGGTGGTTCTTTGTGTCTGGGGGTGGGCGTCCGGGTACACACCGGCTCACTCCTTGGCGGCCGCTTGTCGGGGCCTGGGGCCTGGGGCTCGCTCGGGCCCCTTTGGAGGTGGGGTGCCCCCGGCCTCTCGGCCTAGGGCTCGGTCACTCAGGCGCAGCTGGGGGCCGGCGGAGCTCACGGGCGCGTCACTGCAACTCCCCCTGGCTTCTGCTCCGCGGCTGCTGGGCGAGCCCTCATCTGGGACTCTCCTCAGCTCTTACTGGGACAGTGGCGCGGCTGCCCCTCTGTTGGTCTTCCATGGTCTCTTGTGTTCTGGGGGCCTCTGGATGTCTGGAGTTTTGATCTCCTCCATACCCGCTTCACACCCTGGAGGACGGGGCTGTGGCCCCCCCACACTCCCTAGCAGATCATTACATGGAGAAACCTTTGGAATGCAAGCATGCTGATCCACACAGGTATGCACACATGGGTATTCACAGACGCGGACTAAAGCTTTCTTGGCTGCTGCCTCAAAGCACACTGTGCGCTGTCTATCTTGCGTGCTGCACAATATCGTTTATTACTTAGTAAATACTGATATCTATGACTAGCTAGTTTATTGTGATGGTGCTTTGTTTTCTCTATTATTATGTTGCTCTTTGTTGTTTGCTGTCTCCTCTGTTTGTTTTTGTTTGTTTGTTTGTTTGTTTGTTTTTTTTCTCCATACAGGTGACCCAGGAGTTTTTTTTTTTTTTTTTTGTCTCTCTTCCCCCCCTTCTCACCGTCTCTTCTCCCCTTTGGTTTTCTTTCTTTCTCTCCCCCTCTCTCTCTCATTCATTCCCCCTGTCCTATTTATTAAAAAAAAAAAAAAAATGACAAAGGATGAACTGAAGCTCTGCCATCACGTAATGTCGCATACTGCTGTTTCTGATGTCATTTAGAAAAAAAAAAAAAAAAAAAAAAAACAAAGTAAACTTTATTGTCATCTCCGCTACATCCAGTCCAGGATATAGAGAGACGAGACGACGAGGCTGCAGTTACAGCAGTGCAAGTAAACAAACAATAAATATAAGAACAGTAAGAAAATAAATATACACTTTAGGACTCGGGATAAAGGGATCAATAACAATTTAAAATTTATAATTTGCAGTTTGATGATTTAAAGTCTCTCACACAACCAGGCTGCTTCCAAATAGAGCACATTTCATTCATAATGTTGTAAATCCAAGCCCATTATGTATTCATGATTTGAATCCTGGGTTGTGTGAAATCTCAGAAATAAACCCTAGACAAAGTGAATCTGTGAACCAGGGTGTAGGTCTGTTAGGTTATGTTGTGGTGATCCTCGGGTTGGAGGACTTGTATTCATACTGGAGTGCAAAATAAAAACCAAGATGGACAAGAAAAGTTCAAAGCCATCAGGTGCTCAGTTTAGAAAAAAGAGAAAAGAGGAGGAGGAGAAACGAGCAAAAGATGCAGGTAAGCAGATGTGTCATTGGATAATGGCAGGTCATCCTGAAACAATCAGAATCAGAATACTTTATTAATCCCTAAGGAAATTATGTAGGTTACAGTTGCTCCAAGAATAAATGGTAAAAATAGCAACAGTAACAGACTAAACTCCAAACAACACATTATGTTACAGATTTTAATATTAATTAGTCTTTGTCAGTTGTTGATTTGTCCTGTTCTCATTGTATGATGAATTATGATGGCTGCTTGGTAGCTGTTTGCATACTATGCATACTCTCTCTCTCTTCATGTGTGTGTGTGTGTGTGTGTGTGTGTGTGTGTGTCGGAGGAGGAGGGGGGGCGCCAGATGGAGTGTTCGCCCAGGGCGCCAAACAGGCTAAGACCGCCACTGCTCTCATCCAAGAGTCTTACTGATTTATTGCTTGCTGTTATTTCAAGGTGATATGGCAAACATGTTCTATTTCATGGGGGGAACATGTGGCTCTTTTGGCCCCTATTGCTCCACCTGTGTCCAGTTTGGGCAGGTGATGTTGTTGCAGTGGCATTATAGAGCGTTTCCACAGCTCAGAGAGCAGAGACACTGAAAAAGAAACGATAAACGGCTGAATAATGAGCTGAAACTGGCTATACAGCCGTGCAAAACTCGGGGGAGCTGCAGATTCAGGTGACAATTCTCTGGAGGATCCTCACAACAAGAAACCCCATTCACAGAGTCAACTGAGAGCACCTTAAATTTGCATCTTAGCTACTTTTCCAGTACTAAGAAAACCATTTGAACTTAAAGGTTATTTATATTCTGAGCATATATCTGAGTAAATATTCACCTGTGATAATTATTGCAGTGGTACATTTAGAGCTCACATACATATAGGCATCATTACATAATGACAGTTCTTTGCTACTCGTACGACGGCAGGCGCGCCTGAGCAATATGGATCACCGATTCATCTTATTTTTCTCCAGTATTTCCCCGAGGTCTGGGACAGGTGGGGAGACAATTAGGCCAGTATGAGCAGACAGTAATGCCCTGAAGGATTTCCAGGTAAGGTTTTTGTTCTCCAAGGAAAAACGTCATTGATATTCTGGTGCAGCACGCAGCACATTTTACGTCACGAGATAAAGCCGAACGTGTGATGATTAATCGTCTCGCTGTGTATTTTAATGGCATCCTAACATTTAATGTGTGTGGGATTAAAAGAAAATGAGCATGAAATGAAGTCTGAAACACCTGGTCCTATTCTGGTCCTGGCTGTCAGCTGGCATTTCCATCCTAATTGCCACACCTCCCTCTTTTGGAGATGACTGGTGGGTTTTTTCTCCCCCAAAACGCTCTCTCTTACTGTGTCTGCTCTGCTTTTTGATCTCTTCCTTCCTATTTGATTAAAAGAAAATTTTATTTGTAACTTTCAGAGAATTATAATTAGACAGCAGACAGATCTCTGTGTCTTGCCCGAGGACGCCCTATCATGAATCTGCTGTAAATGCATTAGACTGACGCCTAATTAGTGTTATAGGTGTTGTCGAGTCCCTGGCTCCGGCCCATATGCTGTGGATTTATGAGAACGAACAAGTCAAAGGACACTACTGACGTCTTTAATGATGTCTAAATGAAGCCATTCTCCTTGTTTCTCCCTTCTTGTGCTTTGCCCCTGTACCCACCCAACCCCCACTAATCTCCCTGTGCTCTATACTATACAAGCAGAGAGATAAACAGGCACGAGTCCCCTTTCTGCTGCTGCTGTGTAGGGAGGAGATGGTGAGATATACAACGAGAGGGGGCAAAACAAACAACCGCTGTAATATCTGCATTCAAAATCATCCGTGCACGTATGCACTCTTACACGGACCACAGGTAAAGCTGCACATCACACACATTATTTCTTCTTTTTCTGTCATGCAAACATCTCAGATTGTAGTCACAACACAGAGGGGCAGATTGATATCGAGACTCATTTTTCTTTTTCTTCCTGCATGTCCCACCACAGGGAATGTTTTTAAGACCCGCCCAAGCAGTGACAAGCCTGCTTTATCATGTTACGTCGAATGTGCAACCCATTTCGGTGTCATGCGGTACGTGCTTAAAGGTACGTGACAATCACCCTCCTCTGAAGATGGTTGTGATGGTTTTCACCTTCAAAAATGTCACGAAAAAAAAATAAAGAATTACATCCCTGTCTTCCACCACCTAATTTAACCAGAAAGAGTCACCTTGAGCTCTTGCAGTCAAATCACATCAGCTCTTTGCCTCTAATCCATACATTGCATAACAAAGCAAGTCATCCTTTCTCCTGTAGTCTCTAACCGCTGCAAAACGAAAAGGTAGATTTAGGGTGTGGGTGGGGGCACAAAATAGAAAAAAAAGGATAGAATTAAGGTGTTTATGGGAAGTAGACCCTGTGCTCTTACTGAACTCGGAAAGTCAGACTTCCTGCATCTGGGCTTCTTTATAATAAGATTGACACAAAGAGAAATGCCGTCTGTGTAAACTACACAACGAAATGTAAACAGAGCCGTACTCCGTGCTGTGGATGCTCCAACATATTTGGCATTTTGTGTTGCGCTCGTGTTGTGTGAACATCCATTTCCTCATTGGGGTTGTCAGCCAAAAGAAAAAAAGGTTAAGAACCACCAGGTTGCATAACACACCCAACACTCCCTGCATATCACAGCAGCCATCCAAAACAAGGGCTGATCTGCACGCACACAAATCTCACCCAGGTATGGGGCAGAGACACCACATCAAAATGGAGGACAGGGGAGTCTGCCGAATGTGATTTTAGTCCATTATGTAATCCTCTAACCCAGTAACGAGTCATCCCACAGCAGCCCAGCCCTGATATATTTCTGACCCCATGCTTACCACAAAATTGGTTTCCCTTTTAGAAACCACGGGCTGTTTTTTGTCAGCTCAGTCTCTATACTTGGATTCTCTCACCTTCCATTTTCCCCCTCTTTTCCCCACGTCACGGCATCTCTATTGGCAAATGAATTCCTCCCCGACGGCTACACCCCAGCTCTAACGCTGTCCCTCAGCCACGCTCCCTCATGGGTTTCCCACCAAAGTAAACCCATTAGATCTTCTTTACTTTACTATTCACATCCACATTCAGGCTTTCCCCTAGCTTTAACTCTCTGTCACATCAATCAATCTTAGTCTGCACATTTTCCCTCCACCCCTACTTTTTTATTGCCCACCAACCCACAGGCCTTACCAGGTATGAGCTACAGTGAAGCGTCGCCTCTGTCGGATGCTCTTGTTGACCATCAGCTTGCGGAAGAGCCGCGGGGAGCTTCTAGGGGACAGCTTCGGGGACGTGGCTCCCCTCTTCCCTCCCATGACACCTGGCATCTTGGGTGGCTCCAGCTCCAGGTGCATGTGCTCCTTGAACGTCCGAATGCACGAGTCCATCTCGACGCTCAGCTCGTTGGATGACATCCCTGTGGGCAGACTTGTGCTCTTCTGTCAAATTCTACCAAATTCCGCCCAATTTTAGCCCCACGGGCTCGTCATGTATGCTTTAGTTAGCCCTTCTCTTGTAGACACACTGAACTTTTCCACTGGGTTAAAATGCTGCAGAGAGCCTGAGCATGCACAAACGGTCACTCAGGAAAAGGCCAGCTCACACATACCTTTTTGTTGCTCTGCCTCTGTGCTTTCAATTCTTTCCCTTTTCCCTCGTTCTTCGCGAGTTTTTAGGGATTAGCCAGCCAGCGGTCGTGCCCTCCCGCTCCCTCTCTTCTGTGGCTCGTGCCCTCTGTTTTTCTGCTGGTCTTCGGTTCATCAGAGGCTCTCAGAGGAGCTTCTACAGCTGGGCCACATACAGAAGAATTCCCCTTCTTATTACGGCTTGTCCATCCCTCTCCTGGTCTCTCCTGCTCTCACGCCCCAGTGCCCCCTCCTTCTCCCCGTGTTCCTCTGTCACTGTTGGTGCCTGTTAAGCGAACACCAACTCTTTCTCTCAGTCCATCAGGCGGCTTGATGTTGGAGGATCTCCCTTCATGAAAGATTCAGAGGGACTGAAAAGTGCTCTCTGCCTCCTCCTGTCTTGCTCTCTCTCCATTAACCACTGCTTGACGAACCCCTTTCTTGCAAAACAACCCCCGCCTCACCCAAAGGCACTCCCGGTGTGGCACAGAGTGACTCCCACTATGCTGAGGCTCAAGTCAGATTTCCCTTCACTCGCACACTCAGAGCAGCGAGCGGAGCAGCGCTCAGCACGCAGGGAAATGCTTCACTTGCCGTTTCATTCAGAATATACACAAGGAGCTCCGAGCAGGCACGCAGCGAGTACAAGCCACACCTCCAACGCTGAGGATTGGCTGGCGGCTGTTGTGACGGCAGGCAGGCAGGCACGGTAACAGGTTGCCAGATTTATTATTTATTTTTTGTTTAGCTGGTATTTGTGGTAATGTTGCTGATGGTGTTGTGACCTTTAGCGAGGCAGGCAACTAGTGAGGACATGCCAAGTTAAAAATAAATAAGGACATTTGGAAGGGAGATAAAAGCAAACAGCTTAATGGGGCATCAGTGAAATGAATCATACACACTGCTCAAAGGGCAGCCGATTCAAGTAAACACTCTAAACTACTGCAATTACAAGAAAACATATTGGTGTAAAGCATTCAGTACAATCCATCTAATGTAATCCATCTGTAATTCTGCCTGAACTGAACCAATCCAAGCATGAGCATGTAAAGAGAAAGAACGGACACAGAATAGACACAGTCATAGCAGAAATACATCCACAAACACAAAGGACTACTCCTTGTGGTGAAGAGAGAGAAAAAGAGGGGCAATGCCCTGCGAGCGGAGAGGCGGGGAAGCTGAGGGAGAAAAATCTAAAGTGAACATCAGAGGAGAGCAGAATGGCAGGGAGTGCTGGAAATGTGAGTGCTTGCTCATCTGCTCGCTGGACTGATTTGTTGAGGTTGTGAGTCACTGATGATCCTAAAGCGCAGACGCATGAGGAGCTTTCACACCACATTTTGCCAAGAAAGCCTTTGAAAATAGTCTTCTCGTGCTTGAATATAAGGAAAAGAACACTTGTAGTAATGCGAGACGTTATAGGAGCGCAGCAGGCAGACACGAGGCATTCCCCGACTCATTTCCTCCGTCAGTCTCCTGTTTTACATGGTAGTAGAAATTATCTGACCAGTCTAACACACACATATCACTGGGCTGGGTCTGTGTCCCAGGATTTTGAGCTTACGGTGGTCCCTCACTATAACACAGTTCACCTTTCGTGGCGTTGCTGTTTCGACGATTTTTTGTGTGCAACTTTGTTTTTTTTGGTTTGTTTTTTACAGTGTATGGTGTTCTGCGTCCTGATAGGCTGTAGACCACTGTCAATCAGTCTCGTACTGTGTCTCCTGTACAGTACAGAATGCATTCAGCTTGTCAAATTTACGTAAATCTTCGCTAACAGTGTGGCCTCGTGTTCCATGTTCGGTGTGTTTAGTTTCACTAAACTGCAATAATAATCCCATGTTTCCAGTGCATACAGTCCCAGGCATGTCTGACTGCGAGAGCTATGTGTCAGCCTCCGACGATGAATTAGTACCTAAAAAGGGATCTACTTCAACAGCTTCCAACAAATCACGGTACTTTGAAAAATATAAAAGAAAACTCTTCTCGCTAAAGGTGAAAACAACAAACCCGTATCATCAAATGAGGTAAAAACCCAGCATCAAATGCTAAGAACGAGGTGATACGAGCAGCTGGTGATGTGCGACTCAAATGTAAATAAGTGACTCCACCAAGAGCCCCCGGAGCACTCGCTCCATATAACTGGAAAAGCAAAGGGTGGATGGAAATCACCGATGCAGTTATATGGTGGAAAAGCGAGACTTTAAGCAGCTGGTTATAAAGTCGGACTCCAGATCCAGCAACCAGAGCTTTTAGTTTTATCATGTGATGAAGGAGGCTGCTCAAGAGTTACAGGGCTAAGTCACTTTGGTTATTGAAAGCTGCTATAAAACACCAGCAAGGCTACTTTTGTGCTTACATTTCATTTTTCCTGCCTCGCTGAATATAATGCTCTGTCACTACAACTGCACTGTAATGAACGCGCCGCTGCTGTCACCTTATTTTAATAGATTTAGACTTAAATTTAGAAAATGTGTCATCACCGGCAGTAGCTCATTGGAAAGGGATAGAAAATGTCCTTCATTCACTTGTGCTTTACTCACTAGCACTTGCATATTACACTTAAATGCTGCTCAGTGCAAGTATCAAACGTTCAGTATTTTTTTTTTTTATCACCAGTTTTTGCATACATTTGCATCCAAAACTGATTTTTAGCCTCATCTTTGCAGATTGGTGAATCTCTGCTCACCTGTTGCCAGTTAAACCAGTTGAAAACTTTCTCCAGCAGTTTCCTGTTTTCATATATAATATATTAATATCATATATGAATACATTAATGCTAATAAAACAATGAAATTGTTGTATAATTGTGTTTAGCCAACATGAAAAAAAACCCTAAAGGAATAAAGTTTAAGAATATTTTGTACTGGTGCTCATCAGGGAAACAAACTGCTGAAAAACATACTACTGTCTGCACACAGATACTATTTTTCAGAAGTGATTGGTTGGTAGGCAGGGATTTCTGCCCTGGTGATCTCTAATCTCAAACATAACCTTCCACAACATTCCCCAGCAGGTAAGGTCTACCGCATATGTTACCAAAAACCACCTTCACAGCACAAGAAACCCAGGGTCAGTCCTGCTTCATAGTACAGGCCTCTGGGCACTGAATAAAAGTGGTATATCTCACAATGTATCTTAATAACCAATAACATCCAAAGTAGTTAGTCAGTCAACCAACTGATGTTGTAAAGTTGTTTTGCCATAGTTCTTAAAAACTGTTTTTAACCTTCTTCTCATCTTTGAAATTTTGCTGAACCTCAATCGCAGTGGCCAGCATGGATAAATGTATATAATTAGCTAGTCCTGAGTCCCAATGAGGTATGGATTCCAGATCCAAAGCTAATAAAGTCACAGATAAATTAGAGACTTCTGTGATTTCATGGTATGCTCGATCTGCAGCTGGACTTTTAGTAAATATTAAATTTCATCTATTTTTTAAAATACTTTTTGAAGCATTAGATTTAGCTTTAAAATGCTATATTTTGTTTATTATCAAAGTAAACTATATTTACTTTGATAGCCTCGCCTCTGTCAGCGCGCCCCAGGGCAGCTGTGGCTACAATGTAGCTTACCATCACCAGTGTGTGAATGTGTGCGTGAATGGGTGAATGACTGAATGTAGTGTAAAGCGCTTTGGGGTCCTTAGGGACGAGTAAAGCGCTATACAAATGCAGGCCATTTACCATTTAATTTCATCAATTTGCACAAACACGGGTAGGACTCAAAAAGGCATGCTATGTTTACAATATACTGCTAACATGCTAACTTAACATTGTTACGTTTAGTTGGCATTAAGTAATTAATACAAAAATTATTTAGGGTAACTTAAATCAGCTCTATAAATATAAATGCAATAAAATTGTGGTATTATTATTAGAATGAAAATGCAAAGTTTAAGTATCTAATAATCAGAAATTACCATAACAGAGCAATCCCATATGGTAAAAGATTTCCATTACTTATAGTTTAATTATAGAGATCAGATATGTTTTGCAGCTTCATACTGATTTTTTCATTCAAAATTAATGGTTCTTTTGATAGCAAAGGATGCTAATCCATAAATTAGCGGACAAGGCAGAAGGTTAGACTCATGAACTGATGCCCCATCAATTACTGTTTAAACTTCTATGCTTAGCTATCTTGCACATATAGAGTAACTGTTGACTGACAGTTACTCTTCACACCTGCCGGTTCCTCCTGAGAGATCCATGCCAATGGTGGAAAGAAAATAAAGAAAAATCAAAGAGACCTGCACACAAATCTTAAAAATGACTGCTGGCTCTTGCACATTAGCGCATTTCAAAACAGAAGAACTGGGAGCCAATGCCAGGAGAAAGATTGAAAGAGATTTAATTGAAGAGTAACTGGGCCATTGGATTCCATGTTAAACTGGATTTCACATCCTTGAGGGTTTAAATGAAAGCACTATGATCACAGCACAGGAGGACCTGAGACACAACAGCCCCTGCAGCAAGTTGTGAAGCTCTGACAGGCCATTTGTTGACCTTTACATTAGGATTATGTTTTAGGCACCTGTGCCACCCCTAAAAATAAAGCTCTTGGTTAATTACTAAATTAATTGTTTAAAAATAATTTCACAATAACTGACAATAATTTGAGTTATTTGTCAGTACTTTTAGCTATATGCATTTATATATGCTAACATGCTAATGTTTAGCTGGAATAAAGCTAACCATGTCATTTGATAATTAATTACCACAAAACTATATGTGAATATCTTACATTTAATAACCTTTACACATTTAGACCTACGGGCAATTTAGTGTTACCAATTAACATAACCGCACTAACTGCATGTCAGGACTGTGGGAGGAAGCTGGAGCACCCAGAGAGAGCCCACGCAAGCACGGGGAGAGCGTGCAAACTCTACACAGAAAGACCCCGCCCTGCGACAGACTGCCAACCTGTCCAGGGTGTACCCTGCCTAAGACAGCTGGGACAGGCTCCAGGATGGATGGATGGCATTACACTGTAAATTGAACTATTTGTCAAAAAGTAACTTGGCTGCCTTGAAAAACAGAACAACATGTTTGGTTGTAGAGCTTAAGATTTCCATCCAAGCTGTTCACAGTAGTATTTCAGTGCCGTTGCAGCGAGGTTTGTACAGGATAAAGCTGATTAGGCTAATTTCTCAGTGTTGTTATTAGTTAACTCGGCTTATCATTTTAGATTAAAATAACTCCCATACATAGATATGTGTCAACTGAACATTTTCAGTTTAATGAAGGTGCTATTTCTAGGCTTTCTAGATTCCAGGTTATTTTAAATTGAACTAGCTTGTTATTGTTTATAGCGTCAATTTGAAGTCAATAAATGCAGTAGTCGGGTTTTTTTGGTTGCACAGAACCAGACAGTAGAAAAACTAATCTGGGGATTACTAGACATTAAGTTTTATTCTCCAAGGCCATCAGTGTCTAATAAATACATAAATAATGTGATTATCTGCTGGTATACAGACAGAGCTATTAATAAAGAATTTACAATTTAAATTCTTTGTTTCATCTTTACATTTATGAGCAGTTCTTGTTTTTCATCATGAAAAAACTTAATCTCTCTCTTTTT